TTCAAGGAAACTTCATCTTTTATTTTTCTAGTCTAAATTTTATGGCTGCCTTTATCTAAATTATTCTGGCTCTTTTTCGGCGCAAAATTAAGACCTTCTGAGTTTTTTTGCCCTTTTTTTGACTCAGTGTGAAGGCACTTATTCCAAGTCATTCGGCTTTTCAAAATTTTTACCCTATTTGACAATCCCCTCTTCTTGATGATGTACGAGTAATTTCCTTTGAAGATGTGGAGGTAAAGGCGTAATTGCCTATGAAACTCCGTAACTTGCACTTCCTTGATCCTTACGTCAAATCGCAGCTGATACCCACATGGATGCCAGCACGGTGCATCGGCTATAGCGAACATGGTTGGAGCCAAGGAAATGTGGGAAGAAGGAGGGATGCAGATGCAGCCAGAGGGACGTCAGCACGCGTGGATCGACGCATCCTCCGACAAGCTGTGGCGGTGCCGCAAGTCACTTGTACCACGATTCTGCAGCATGTGCAAGATACCCTGGATGTTCCCGTGTCGACCAGAACCATTTTCCGTCGATTGGGTGAACGTGGCCTGCACTCACGGCGTCCGTTAAGAAGACTGCCATTGACCCCACAGCATAGACGACAACGTTTAGAATGGTGCCGGACTGGAGCGATGTGGATGACAGAATGGCGAAACGTCGTGTTTTCAGATGAGTCACGCTTCTGTTTATCCAGTGACAGTCACCGCATGCGTGTCCGGTAATTAAATAATTATGATTTAAATAGTATTTAGACGTCTAATAGATTTTAATAGTTTAATAAATAATAATAATTAAATAGCGAATGATCATACGGAACAACAAACAGCATATGAGCATATGCACCTCCTTTGCTAACAAAGTAAGTGATCAGCACGACGATTCATCTGCAAAGTCACATGACAGCCGAAGCAAAGTACTTACATATAGGAAGAAAATATCCTTTCCCTTTCTCCCTAGCGTAGTGAAGATCTAAACTAGCAACCTAAACTATTCTCCCAGTTTAAGGCGCGTATCGCCCAAGTTGGCGAACGCGATTTCAGGAAGTTCGCCAAGTGCCGGTTATCTGAGTATCCCCTATAACTCAAATCAAGGAGGTTAGAATAGAAGGAGGGAGGGTTTGCCGTTTCCTCCACTATAGGGGAATGAAACCTCCGCCGAACAAGCGGCGTCCATGTTTGTGACTTCAAAACATCGCATTACATCAATGACATGTACGTGTTTCTAAGCTGTTCCGTGCATGTATTTTCCAGTAAAAATATGTTAAATTTATAATGAAATGCCTCGCTATTGTTGAATTTTTGTTTTAAAGTAAGAAAGATGATATCCATAATTTACTATGTGCAGCAAATTATAAGAAATAGTTCGAAATCTAAATGCATGCGCATAACATTAAAGCCTTTAAAAAATGATGTTTCTGCATATTTCACGGATTTGCTTAGGTTTCATTAGCAACCTGTTGGGTATACTTCCCAATTTTTCCTTTAAAAAGTGATATTTCTGATTTATTCACAATATTATCATAATTTATTAAAGAATCACTTCATATACAAAGTTTAAGGTATAGGAAAGAAAGTTATTTTATTTTACTATGCTTAAATACTTCAGCTTTTATTAGTAATACATTAAAACAGAAATTCACATATGTATTATTTATTGGCTATAGCAGTTGTAATAGCTAATTTCAGGAGACTGATACTTGATGCAAATAGTATTTCATTTTTTTCAAGCACTTATTGGCATAGTTTAAAAATTTAAATAATTCTTAATTTCAATTAGAAAACACATTGTGACTTTTATCCTTTTATCAATTTTTAGAAATATTTTAGGGGAAGGGAAGACTGTTTTTGTGGAAACCTGAGAAAAGTGTTAATTTTGATTAAGCTACGGTAAAGGAAATAACTTCATGGAATCAGAAAATCTAAAATGCTGAACAAATAGAGATAAAAACAAACAGCAAATAGATTTGCATAATACATGTCAAAAGTGACAGTTCATTAAGGGACGATGGATTTACATGGTTGCTCAGCTCAGTGCATCTCCAAGTTAAAAAAATTACAAGCTTATTTAAATTCTATTCTAACTTATTTGTAATGCTTTCCTGATCAGAAAATTTCTACGCATAATAGAAAAAATGTCTTTGTCTGATACTGAATAAAAAAATTCAGCAGTGAAAAAAGTTTTGCCAATTTTTATTAAAATCATCACAATACCACAGTACAGCTGTTCCTAATAGATTACAAAGGTATTTAAAGATGTTTATAAAAAATAAATTATATTCAATTCTATCCTTGGCAATTAAGTGAAAAAATGATGTTTTAAAGAAAATTGAGAAGTTTACATACAAAATTACAACCTTTATTAATTTACAACACTTTCTTCTTCATAAAAACAGTAGATAAGTATAATAAAATATTCATTATATATATATATTAATCATTTCTAAAAACATGCAACCAAGTATTTTTTTAACTTCAGGTTATTTACTAAACCTTACATACAAAATTTAAGGTACTTTTTCAATTTTGCCGGCGCAGGCAATAAATTTGCCAAAAATGGTACAACCGATGCCAAACTTAATATACTTGCTGGTAACCTTTTACGCCTCAATTTTCAAAACAAGTCGCAGCCATTTCTTATCAGATTGATTGTTTCCTTCAATACTAGCATACAACTACATAGAATTTTTACCAGCTAGTTCAATTTTATGCCCTAAGGCCATTCGTGGTAATTAAGTCAATTAGGATGCAATCACACTACTCACCCGAAGGGGAAAATGTACAAAAGGCAAAGTCAAGGGTTAAATTCATTAATTCTAATGAGAATGCACTAGCGAAGTAAAGCACTGCGGTTTTACATAATTTCCAAGTGAGCTATTCGTACAAATTGAAATAATTCTTGCATTTAAACTTATATTCCAAATGAAGATTTAACCTGAAATTAATGTAGATATTTACTGAGAGAATTAGAATTTTGTAACATAGTTTACGTGAGATGAGATCACTTGGGGTCAAATGACATGAACCGGCGAATCAGGATTTTGAACCATGAAAGCATAGTAAATTCTTAATATTAACGTCTTTTTACAAATTTATTGTCTTTATTTATTGGCTTTTTACAAAATTTTAAACGATATTATTAAAATGTTTATGCCTTCAAAATAAAAATTCTTAGAACTAACATTCGTTAATTTTTTTTAAATTTGTGTACATTGTATGTTGTCGCCAATAAAGTCTGCTTGGCGAGATTTGCACCGGCAAAACGGAAAAGTACCAAATTTAATTTCTAAATGTAATAAGCAAATGGTTAAATATGACATACAACATTGACAAGTAATTCAACATATTTTGAGATGTACATTGTACTCAGAAATAAATAACTATGAAAACATATAAATTTACATACCTTTCTGCTTTTATATCCAATGGGAGGTATTTCAGCATATATATCCCAAAACAGAGGCAAAATTGTTTCCATAAATTATGTTTTTGCAAAAGAGTGTATATCACATGTAATTATTTTTTCTACTGCCCTTTGAATAAAACAGCTTTTGTGTACATCTGTCGAATTGATTCGGCAGCATTTATTTTATTTTTCCCCCAATATATATACCTAACACGCAAATAACTTTCTATTATTGCCTTTACTAAATGGACTACATGATTGTTGAGTGGAGACATATCGTGCATATGGCCATTTAGTAAAGGAAATAAATCATTACCTTTTAGGGCATTCAAAACTTGAATCGTCACTGTCAAAATTGTAGGTGTTTTTATTGAATCATGCTTGCTGAAGCTGAAGAATGCAGCTTTTTCATGCTAATCATACTGAAAATACTATTAAAGGAACGAAAAACAGATTCACTTTTTTTACATATTAAGTACACATCATGGGATGCATGAATTAATTTGCCCCTGCTTTTAAATGATACAAGCGAATGCTGTAAAACAGGTTTTTTTTATGTAAGTGCATTTAAACACATCTCGCATTTAATATTTGAAGATAATTTCCTAACAACAAAACCAGCTATGTAATAAACAATATGCTCTGAACATCTGGTTAATATTGCTGGATTAAACACGTAATCATGATCTGAATTGACAGTATCCCAAGATATATTTGTTGTTTCATCCATAGCTCTTAACCTGTCAGTTGTCATATTTATTATTTTCTCAGATGCAGTCGTACTGGTTGCAGTCAGAATGCTTATATTTTCTTGTGGACTGCAATTGCCATTGATAAAATCACTTATTTGAGTTTGTGCGAGTAGTCTTTTATATGCAGTTTTAAATTGATATGAAGTAGGGTTATTATTGCATCCTCCCTGCATACGAATCATTTGGAAAAACATTTCAATGTGATCTTGGCTAAATTTATATGATGGTAAGTATATTAATAAGGGTTGATTTGAAGTTACCAGCTTTTGTATTTAATATTTTATAACTCTTAATACATACCAAAAAACCTAGAAAGCCAGTTTTTCTATTAGATTCAGTAACTTTCATTCCATTTACACTAATTTTCAAGTTGCTTAAATACCTTTCCAAGTCATTAAGAGCTTTGAGAAATAAAACTGCTGTTATGTATATTCACAGCTTTTTTAAATCCTGTCTGCTTTAAATTTCTTGAATTGAGAATGTCAAATAAATCATTAATTTTTCTTAAGAATTCAACTGTTGCTGTTGAATTTTTGAATGTATCTAAATCTAAAACCTCAGCACAAAACTGAATGGCATCAGCAACAGATTTGCTAAAAAGCTGCGCTGCAAGAGAAACTTTCATTTTTTGCCGAAAGAATCTGACATGTTGCTTTTTCAGTTTGTTACCTAGATGAAGTCCTTCTGTCTCTTGTAATTCTTGTAATGCTGTAATATATTTCCAGTCAATAAGGCCTTCATTTTCATCAACAATGCATTTTTTATCTCCCAAGGTATTGCGGACTAATTTGAGCATATGGCAAGGATCTAAAAAAGCTACAATATCATCCCCGTTAACAAGGATGCTTAAATATAGTATTGAAATCTGAACTGTCAAATCTGCAACCTAAATGTTTTAGCATATTCAAATTCGAAGATAAACCATCACATGTTAATGATACAACTTTTATGTTAACATTGTGTAATACAGTTAAACACTGAAGCACAAGGTTTGCTTTAGTTTCACTACTAATGCCATCAATTAAAAAATATCCAACTGGGATTTTAAAGTTACCATTGATACACACTAGCATAAACACTAATGCCTCTCTAGCTAGTGGAAGGGAATCATCATCATTCTGTATACCTGTATTAACGTATCCATGATAAATTTGGCCATCAAATTCAACATGTTTACGTATGGCCATTTCATCAATGGTCAATGAAAAAAAGCAATTGGTATGAAGTACTCTTAAGTTTATTATCTAATGCATTCAAAGATTCAGTTGTAAAACCAGGTGCTGCATTTATAGATTTGTACCAGTTTGCTAGAGTCTTGGTATGTGGCAAACATGAATGTTTTTCTAACATATTTGTATGCTTTAGGTGAATAAAAATGAAGAGTTAAAGCAAAAGCCTTTAATTCTTTACTGTAATGTTTTGGTTTACTGGCCTTTCCCACACGTTGCTAATTCCCGTAAAAGAAGTTCTTCATTAACAGGAATTGATTTTCTTAAAATGTCCAGATAATCATCATTTATTATCCTGCTCTTTTTTAAATCTTTTAATACAGTTTTCAAATTGCAGATAGTCCTTTTCTGTCTACGTGCAGTTTGTTCCAACAGCTTAATTTTCTTTCTGTAGACACTATTTAATTCTTCAGCTTTATGCAGCTTTCGCTTCAGCTGTTGCTTGCATGGAGAATATTCAACAGACGTTGCCCTAGTTTGTGGTTCACATAATACAGGCTCCTTGGAAAAAAAAAAAAAAGCAATCAGATGTATGGCAAATAAAAAATTACATAAAAATAACAAAAGGTATTCCTGCTTTCATTTTAATAGTATCATTCATTCTTTAATAGTCAAAATGGGCAATTTGCCCTAAAGGACTATTAATTTCATTTTGCCATTTTGCGTTAAAAACTATAAACTGCAAATCACTTTTCAAATAGTTGCCACCAAATATTATCGCCCTGTATTATATTTAAAGAAATTAAATAATAAAGAATCTGTATGAATGTATGTGTTCTGAATGAATATCAGATTTTTTATTATTTGAATATTATTCAGTTGACTGGTAAAACAGTATGATTCAGTGCCCATTACAGATGAATGTGTCCTTTAGAATTAATCAGTAATAATTGGCGACTGTTGCCGAAGCTTCATTTCAGGAATGGCACTGTTTAAATTGGTAAAATAATAAAATTTATAGAACATTTTCAGTTTTTTGTCAAGAAGAAATCTGTTATTTGTCTTTTTTAAGCTTCAGACAAATGGCCAACTCCCCAGAAAGCATTAATTCTTTCATTTTTCTTATTAAAAAACTGTCCTCGTCTAAAATAGTCATGACCAATTTTTCCAGCAATTATTTGCATTAAGCTTTTAACTTTATTCAAGCTTTAGAAGAGAAATTCTTGCATAAAGCACAACGTTATATCCAAAAGTAGCAAATCAAAAAAGAAAAAATTTCTGTTGGTTAAGGGACAGGTTATTGTTGATTCTAAACATTTCTTATTATGATAATTCTCACGCAAAAAGTTGCTTTATTCTCTTTGAATACAAAATATTTTACTTTCAAATACATTTTATCAAGAAAACAAAAGAACTGCTGGTAACATTAAATTCAAAACTAACTTACCTCTTTCTTTTTATCCTCAAGAAGACGTTCTGCAGGAACTTTTCGTGTTTTTTTGGTCTGGAAAAAAAAAAAAAAAAAAAAAAGAAAGAAAAGATATTTATTAAAGCATGACTAATGCAGATTTACTTCTAATAAACTTTTTATAAGTGTCTTGTAATATTTATGTAGTCTAATTAACATGCAAAATGATATGTTTAAAAATTTCATGAAAATTAACACTAACTAAAAATAAGATAATTCATTTTCCAAACAATGATTTAATGTCAATTTATTTTTGTTTTGAAATAATGCTTTCTAAATTTACTGAAATATTCTTTAAATTAAAGTAACATTATCTTTTCATTAAGTCTGAATGAAAGATATTTTGGAAATCATTACCACAATGACACATATAACCACATATGATAAGTTTGCATGTTATGCCATTGCAAGTTTCATTAGACCAATATCATTTTACTAGTTTTTACTGAAATCAGGCTACTAGAAGTATTTGATCTTTTGCAAATATCATTTCAGAGATAAACATGTACACAAATTCTTATTTAATTCCTTATTCTATGTAATAATAACAGAATAATGTACCTTCTGCAGGTGAAGTGGAAATGCTTTGAAGATATTAGGCACAGCATTTTCTCTCAGTCTTACACAGCATAATGAAGTTCTGTCAATCTGATCCTCAGAAAAATGATCCGAACAAAGTCGTGAATAGGAAGTTGGCATCCAATTCTCTCTTCGAACAGCTCGTATCCAAGCTGCTCTTCGTTCTGCATTTTTAGGAAACCTAAAATTAATAGCAGATAATTATCTAAAAAAATAGTCACAGGTTGCATTTTTTTAAATGAAAATTTTAAATAGAAGATCCTTTTCACAACTTAATAAAATAAAACAGATTTATGTGAATTCAATGATTTCAGTTTATGCGCATTTCATATTTATTAATCTCAAAGAAACTGCCTTTAATTAAGCTGAATTACAGAAATATACCTATACAAGTTTTTGGATACATCTTTCCACATGTTCAATTGTTCCACATGTTCAATAAATATTTTACTTAATTTTATCACTATACTGATCAGAAATTTGTAAGTTTATGCAAAAAATTTTTAACAACAGAACAGTTTATCTTAACTTAAAAAAATGAATAATAATTAATATATAAAGAAAAGCATTGCTTTACTTAACACCTTTACAATTAATAAAAATAGTAACAATTGATTTCTTACTTTTCATGAAAGTTATAAAAGGAATTACCTAAAACATTCAAATTATACAATTTAAATCCTACCATATATCATTGTATCTTAAGGAACGAAGATACCAGCTATAAACAGAAACATTAAAATATATTTAACATTTTTTGATTGTAGTTATATTACATAACATGTTGTGATTATTTAACTCCTTTTTTTCACATCTGGAAAGAAAACATGACATCGTGATATTTTTTAACATAGTTGCCATATTACATAAAAAAGAAAATCAATACTTACGTGTGAAAAGTAATGCCCGGAATTTTTTTTCGAGAATCTATTTGTGCATCCATATGCAACACAAGCTGACATGCTTCAAAAAGAAAAGAAAAAAAATGTTGCAATGACAAACTTCCTTGCAAAAGTCACGGTGATAACAGGAAGATGGCCGCCACGCTTCACCGTTTAAGTTGAACCTTCCCTCCTTCTATTCTAACCTCCTTGACTCAAATAATTCAAGGTATTTTAGATCAGATACTGACTTTTCAGTAAATATTTTCATGCAATTCTAATAATCGGCATAACTATCAAGTTTTGACTTCGGAAATTATGTTTAGAGAAACCTGAAGCTGCAGTAAATAGTAATAAATTTATTTAAAACTGAAAGTAAAGCATTCTTACTTTAATTTATTTTCTTTCTTTAATTATGGCAGATCTTTTAAAACAACAAAATCAAACAAAAAAAAAGGAAATGCATTCATGAAAGGACTTAAAGAAAACTTTATATATTTCAGTAATTACAAGTGCATGAAAATTCAGTATATATAAAATAAAATGAACAAAGATTTGGAACAAAGTACCTGTGTTTCTATCGCATAAAATTTCCTGTTTTAATAGCACAATATCTTTGAGTTAAAGATTATATATTAAAGCAAATTTATAAAACTAAATTCAAAAATAAGAAATTAAATTATTTTTAGGGAAAACACTAAGCAAATAAAAAAATTTTGAATTTCATAAATAAATGAAAGTTACATGCTTTATTTTTTGGCATAAGGTAGATAATATTTCCAGAACAGATTTCTGAACAATTAGTCATGTTAATATTGCCTTCCTTTTTCCATTAAAAGCTATTTCCTGCTTAATTACAGTATGCTTTAAGATAAATATTAAAACGTTTGAGTAAAAATAATATAACTATAAAAAGGTGAGACACATACAAACAGGAGTGACACAAACAGTAAGAAACAGACTAGTGCAAATTTATTGATTTGGTTATTCTATGTCATTAACCAAATCCTGAAAATGAATCATTAGGCACGTACACAAAAGAACAACACATGGAAAATCACATTTCCTACACAGACGCTATTTATAAAATTTTATATAGGTGAAGAAAGTACGAGTATTAAACACACTGAAAATATAAAAATATTCACTTACTTTCTTCAAATAATTAGTAATAATTAGTAACATCGATGGATTCAGTCACAAACGCCAGTACTTCACAAATATCCCGCCACAACCGGAAGTAGAAAGTGTCTGCTTTGCCATTGGTCAGTGAACAAGAATTGCAATGCTTTTTTTTTTTTTTTTTTTTTTTTTTTTTTTTTTTTTTATACTTAAACATATTAAGAAAGCCTCTAAATTAGCAACTGAAATAAACTTACTTTTGCATTATATAAATTTATATTCACAGCATCTCTGTATTAAAGGTAATAATTAAATTTTTCTACGAAAAATAGAAATGTCTGTGTATGCGCATGCTCAGTGTATAATCGTAAATCCGGTTAATTTTTATAAGTTAGCGTAAAATTAACTATGCAAATTTTGAGTTCATTTAACTGAACCCTTGTACTTATTCTGTAGATCTATTAAGATCTTTAGAATGTTTTCAGGAAAAATATAAAATATAAATATAATATTATTTATTTACATTATTTATTTATTTTTTCCTCATATAAAAATTATTAAAATCGCTATATCATTTTCCCCGTACATTAAACAAAATTAAAAAATTTTAGCCTCATGTGATTTTTATAACAAAGATTAAAGGAACTGAAATATATGTAAAATATCAGGATTCAGCTTGCAATTTCGTAGAGTTATTATTATTATTATTAAATAAAAATATTAGTATATCTTTGATTATAATTAATTACCCTTTGGTCTACATTAAACTATTGTTCAAGAAGTTAAACATTTTCGAGCATCTTCTGTTCTATTTATTATTTTATTCCTCGACATGAAAGATTTGCTAGTCTTGTTCCAATTTAATTGCCCACATTTGCTAAATAAAATAAGGCGAGTATTGTACCAAACTCAGTAAGTACACAAATTTAATATACAGCTTATTCCAGTTAAATGGGTAATAGGATTTTCATAAAAGAAATTAAATTGTGTAAGTTAATGTAAGTGTTAATATGAATAAAAATAACAAATTTGATATAAGAAAATAAATAAGTTATTTTGAAGATCTTTAAATTAAAAAAATACTTGTATATTTTTTTGCAGATATGCACATCAAGATTTAGTTCACATGCTAAAATTCATAGAAAAATGTTAGCCTTATATATGAATGCTAGAATAATGACTAAAGTAATTTAAATTTATATAAAATATCATGATTGTTTTCAAATTCGTAGAAGCTTTTAACCAGAGGAAAATCAATTTTAAACGTAAAGACGATTTAAAAACAGAAATAATTTTGATAACAGATTAAAATGCTGTTGGGAAAAAAATATTCGCATACCCTTTTTTCATGTTCGTGGAAAAAGGAAAACAAAGTGAAATGCCAGAAATACACTAAATATTTTGAATTAATAAACTTCATTTTCAATCTTTTAGACTTCGTATAATATCCGTAAAAGTGAGGAATGAAATATACCATAAAGACAGTAGTTTCTTTCAGTACATTCGGATTCGTATAATATCCGTAAAAGTGACGAATGAAATATACCATAAAGGCGGAAGTTTTTTTTCAGTACATTCGGATTCGTATAATTTTCGTAAAAATAACGTGTGGAAAATAACGATAAAGCGTGAACAGTAATTTCAGCCTTTTTTATTCGTATGAATTTCGTAAAAGTAAAGTGCAAAAAATACCATACCCTTATTTCACCAAAATATTATAAGTATATTTTTGGAGACGTGCTGCCTGGGTGGCGTTTATATGATGGGAATTCCTTTCAGGATGTTTGGCTTAAATCTTCTGACAGAGTGAGATCTTGGATCCCTATAATAGGGAGATCCAAGATAGTAGCATTTAGTAAGTCTTGCTGATTAATAATGTTTTCGGGCGGACTGTAGGCTATTGTGAATTGGGAATTTTCATTGATGTTATTATGTAAGATTGTAGTACAGTAGGCGGGGGCTCGGAGTACTTTGTAGAATTTTTAATGAAAAGTGCAGTACCACCGCCACTATTACGCTGTCTGGTCATCTCTTACGATATTATAAGGACGAAGTTTGGTTTCGTTACCAAGCATTATACCAATTTTCTGTTTTTTTTTTTTTTTTTTTTTTTCAAATAATTAATTATTTCATGCTATTGTTTCCGCAGCTCACTAGGCGTTGAAGTAACAAGCTTTTAACCCTCCGAGTGGCATAAGCAGCTTTATCCGGTCATGATACTTTTTATTATTTAGTACATATTAACTTTCAACATGTTGCTTCCTTACTTACTTCACTCAAGTAGCAATTTATTGCTTTGTTCTTACTGATCAGCAGCTGTAGGGCGATAGAATTCATAGTCGAGATTTGAGAAAACGTCAAAGGCGCTTATGCCTGTCTAGATCTTCTCTATAAGTGATTTAGAGGTTTGAAGCGTTGCAAGAATTCTTTGGCCGTAACCACAGTATCCAGTCAAACAAGGAGGGACTTTTTCCGTTGTTTGTTTCTTTTTATTCCATACATTATTATGGGTTTTGCCTGATTTGTCGTCTTTACTTATTCTATGTAAGATCGAGAATTAAGTTTTTCAACTTGAATTCGTTTGGTTTACTGTTGTTTTCAGTAGTTCTTTTCTTTTTCGACATTTTAGGGTATTTTTCACAATCCCTATTGGACGTCATATGTCCTTCAATGGAGTTTGTCAATAAATGTTTTAATGCTAAGTTGCTGAGCTTTCGTAGCCGAGAATGTTGGCGAGAACTATTTTTAACAAATACCTATAGGGCCTACGTTAATCTTTGGAGTCCTACTGAGGAAAGTCAGAAGGTAAGTTAAAAATCGAAGGCACTTGTCTCACCTCTCACAAAAGTCAATACTGATGACAGGAGCCATCTACAGTCAGCCCATATTATCACAGCTGGATAAAATCGATTAACATCTTTCACTTCACCTGAAATTTTATAGGGAGCAAAATTCGCGTGAAAGGATTTTCTGCATATATTTATTTCTATCCAATGGATTTTATTATATAGCTATCTAAATATCGAAGAGCTGTTTGCATTTATTTTTACCCATTTGGTTTGGTTTATTTAATTATTACAAAGCACTCTAGACTTATCTATCTAAGGGGAGTAATGCCTTCATGGAGGACATTCTAAGGGAAA